TCAACTTTTTACTTTATACAATTTCTTCTCAGTAACCAAAAGGGCTAGGGTAATGATATTTGGCCAGAAGCATGCTGGGATTAAGGGCTACCAAGTTTGTTCAAATAAATGACCTTCAACCATTTTCAAGGTCACAGAGGTCAAATATGTTAAAATCTTTAAACAACTTCTTCTGAATAACCAAGAGGGCTAGGGTGATGATATTTGACCTGTAACATGCTGGGATGAAGGGCTACCAAGTTTGTTCAAATAAATGACGTTGACTTATATTCAAGGTCACAGGGGTCAAATATGTTTAAAACCTTTAAACAACTTTTTCTCAATAACCGAAAGGCCCAGGGTACTGATATTAGGCCTGTAGCATGCTGGGATGAAGGGCTACCAAGTTTGTTCAAATGAATGACCTTGACCGACTTTCAAGGTCACTGGGGTCAGATGTCTTAAAATCTTCAAACAATTTCTTCTCAATAACCAAAAGGCCCAGGGTACTGATATTGGACCTATAGCATTCTGGGATAAAAGACTACCAAGTTGGTTCAAATGAATGACCTTGACCAACTTTCAAGGTCAAAGGGGTCAAATGTTGTAAATTCTTCAAACGTCTTCTTCTCAATAACAAAAAGGCCCAGGGTACTGATATTGGACCTGTAGCATGCTGGGATGAAGGACTACCAAGTTTGTTCAAATGAATGACCTTGACCGACTTTCAAGGTCACTGGGGTCAGATGTCTTAAAATCTTCAAACAATTTCTTCTCAATAACCAAAAGGCCCAGGGTACTGATATTGGACCTATAGCATTCTGTGATAAAAGACTACCAAGTTGGTTCAAATGAATGACCTTGACCAACTTTCAAGGTCAAAGGGATCAAATGCAAAATTTTCAAATGACTTCTTCTCAATAACCAAAAGGCCCAGGATACTGATATTGGGCCTGTGGCATGCTGGGATGAAGGGTTACCAAGTTTGTTCAAATGTATGACCTTGACCAACTTTCAAGGTCAAAGGGGTCAAATGTCATAAAATCTTCAAACAACTTCTTCTCAATAACCAAAAGGCCCAGGGTACTGATATTGGGCCTGTAGCATGCTGGGATGAAGGGCTACCAAGTTTGTTCAAATGAATGACCTTGACCAATTTTCAACCTGATGTCCTTGTTCGACATTCAAGGTCACGGGCGTCATATGTTTAAATCTTTTAATAGGTTCTTATGAATCAAACACTGATATTCTGCCTGTAGCTGTATTTTACTCCACTTTTAAGATTACAAGTGTGAGATTAATACCAGGTGAGCGATGCAGGCCCATTGGGCCTCTTGTATAGTTGTAGCATGATGGTATCAGACAGAATATATTGATCTTTTAAGCCTTCCGTTTATGGTTTGTCGATGGCCTTGTGTAGGTGTGAAACTCTTCCATACTACATCATGACATCTAACACTCGGATCGATGGTGCCAGTATATTTCGACAACCATATGCCGTTCTTAAATTATTTTGATATATGTGTATTGATACAAGGTTTCTGAGAATTGTGTTGATTTAAACTGTTTTATGCAAACTTAAAAATTAGGCCAAATAATATTCCCGTCCAAAAATGATAATAGTTATATTTTCCTGTTTTGTATAAAATAACCCCTCCCCCCTCCTAAAAAATAAATAAATATGAAAAAATGAAAAAAAAAAAAAAAAACAAGTGATATGAATATAATATATGTACTATAAATCATATCAATTACAAGTGTGCTATGTTATTTTATTTTGGTATAAATGAATAGAAGTAACAAAGTTAAAAAAACAAACACATTTAACCACAAATATTTCAACAAAAAAAGTCTTCAGTTGTAATTGAATCATTGACTATTTTCAGTTGAAATCCAATCATTTAACTTATTGATTATTCAAACTATATATATATATGTACACTGTACATGTACTACCGCATTTATTCTGCAAGAAGCCCATGTACATGTAGATGTATATACTAGCTTAAAGTCAGGGGTGGGGACATTCTAAAGGGGAACTCAAATATAATAATTCATATCATTTGTTAGCATTTCTACTGGTCATCAACTACAATATATTACAAGATATGCCTTATATGAAGGGGTTTTACCCATTGTACCCCCATTTTTCAAGAACTGTTGTATTCATACGTAAATGTACATATATGCCCGGTACATGTAACTGAGGACCAGGGGATACAGAATATTGAAAATCTATCGATAAACCCCCCCAACATTTAAAATCCATTTGGAACCCTACTGCTTCAAGTGCTTGCTACCAGATAAATGCAATAGCTATATTGAAATACATATACAGAATGTAATTCCTATTGCAGAAGTCTTAATGCCTTCATAGGAAAAGTTTTTAGATAATTAAATCAGTTAGTGATAATTGTGCACGTATATACAATTTAGAGTGGATAAATTGTGTTCATTTACATGCATTGCTGGAAAATTGAAACTCAAGCTTATTGTATGTTTATTTGTGGTCACAGGTTTAGCTCTTGCTGTATATAAATTACACTGTAATTTTACTGAAATACTTTGTGGTCACAGTATGTCTTCAAGAACTGTCACATGTTATACACCTACTTCATATACGGTAAACTTGATAAATAGTTTGGTTGTTATTTATACTAATGAAGTATTTTGTGGTTTCCAGGCCAGGAACCTAAACACTGGAGAGCTGTCGGCCATCAAGGTCATCAAGCTAGAGCCAGGTGAGTTACCATGACAACCAAGATAAACAATGCTAATTCTCATCAAATGCTGGTATTTTTAATACATATTAATATTCCTGTCCTTATCAGGAATCTGTCTCCCGAGGAATGTTAAGGGTTCAGGTACAGACCAATAACATATATACACCTATAAAGCCACATAAATATTTATCTAAAAAAAATCATGAAAAGTTTAAGATAAGAATCATGATATTTCTGGATTTTGTATGCATGTAAGAAATTAGGATATATATGTACAACATGTCTTTTTCCCCTTCAATTTTGTTTTCAATTAAAAAATGTATGTCAGTTTGAAGATCCACTGGTTATCATACTTCAGAAAATTTATAAGTTTTAACAATATTAAAAAAGCACTAGTTATAAACTTATCCATTCATTTCAGTCGTTTAATTTATCAAATTCAAAAATTTCCTTAAATAAATTTGATAGAGGAAATTTTCGTATTTGATCATTTGTACTGTACATACATGTGGTATATCCAACAGAAGTTAATTATAAATCAGTTTGCAGTAACTGTTTAGCTTACCTTAAACTTCTCAGAATATGCTTGTAAATAAAACAGTTAAAAAAAACTGTATACAGTGTCGTGCTTAATGCAGCCGTGCATAGAGGTCAAATTATTTAAAACCGATTCATACCAAATGCATGTCTAGTATATATTACACCTGGGATAATAATGTCTAAAACTTTTGTTACGGTTGTCTCACGATGATGATGGTGACCCTGCAGGAGATAAAAAGAACTATTTAGAGACCTGATTATGACATCATGATTAAATTATCGTTTTCCAGTTTGTCATCAGTTTTGACATGACAGTAATTTTCGAGATTTGTTTTGAGAGTCCACTTCATCTCTTAGTAATGGGATTCATCAAAATGAAATTTTTGTTTCTGTGGTAAAAAATATAAATAAGCCAACCTTTTCAAGCTTTCTGAATGTCGTGGTGGTCATAATAAGATACAAAAGGGATCTATTGGTATAGGTAATTCAGCTGATCCAGACCTCCATTGTTAGCATGCTTATAGCTGCCTATACGCTGGCACGCATGTAAATCAACCAAATGTTCACACAAACACAAAACAACAACACTGCTTGTTGCATCCACTTGTCCCCCTACCAAGGCCCTGCCCTAAAACCTTCGCTGAAATGAATCCACTCAGAACAAGGGCTAGCTACGTATACGCAGGCCCCTGATTGTCATTGATAGTGGTGCCAGGTATAGTTAGTCGGTCGACACATACAGTAATTACATCTGTATCTGTTGCAGTGCCCGCGTTGTAGGTCATCAAGATGTGTGTCACATGTGAATGTTTCATACTGTAATTAGACTAATTATTACCAATACTGCAGTGTGCTCTATATATCGATACAATGATCATCACGTACACTGACCAGGAAATGTTTACAGACCAATTTAATGATGGTAGTATATTGATTCTTGCCAGGGGTGGGGGAATCTTGGGAAGTGTTTAGTTACATGTATGTATATATATACATATATACATGTAGTAGATAATGAATAAATAAGTCCTTGCGAAGAAAAATTTAGAATAAAAACAAATTTTTCAGAAAAATTTGTTTTTATTCTATATATATATATATATATAGTGATAGTTGCTTTATTGTCACTCAGCAAAAACTCACATGTCCAGTATATAACGGTGTACTATAAGAGCTACATTGTTCAAGACGGAGGGGGGATGCTTATATGGTCCTCTTCATTTAAAAATCTTGTGAACTGAGGATTGTGGGCTTGCAACATGCCTAAGTTTCATAATAAAGCTTATATACATAGTTCTTTTGTTGTTTTTGCTCATTTGCCGTTCGATCTGTACATGTATATGGTGTGGATGAAAAATGTACTTAAGCTGTATTGAATTGAAATATTTGACTTGCTTTGCTTGGCTTCAGATGCCTAGTACAGTTAGTATGTTGTAATTATAAATCTTAAAAAATTAGAAGATTTGTGACAATCTTAACTTCTACACATGTTTGCATTTCAAACAACTGATAAGATGTTTACAGAGCTACCAGCCGTGATCAGTGATGCAGAAAATTCTGAAACATGCATCAGTAGCTAGCAAAATGTGCATTGAAAATAAGATAACTTGATTATGAAATTGTAAGGTATCTATTTTCCAATATTATAAGAAATGTTAAATCTCATAGTCATAAGGTGATGCCAGGCCTGGATTTGAATTGTTACACAAGTACACACTTAACAAACATGATCTGTTTTCTGAAGATGACAAAACACAATTTATATGTCATATATTTAGTTTCTCTGAATAGTTCATGTTATTGTAGAAATGTGCATTATTGATAATTAAAGTCCAAGTAAAGTCAATGAAGACTAGACAAGACCAAGGAATCATCAAACTTAACCTGGTGTCATTTATTGATAAAAAAATAAATCATACCTGTTAAGTTAACCCAGATTTAAATGATATTCATGTGCAAATCTACATGTGTTAAAATTAATAAATCATCATTCTGATCCTGGACTGATTTCTTGGATGATTAAGTTCACAAATAAATGTATGTACTAGTTGTTCATTTGTATAACTGTTTGCCTGATGTAGCTTCACCTATTTACATATATATTGGTAAACAATCCTTTTTGTTGTAATATAACATTTCCCTTGTAGGAGATGACCTCGCCGTCATTCAGTAAACATTAATGTTGTAATATACCATTTCCTTTGTAGGAGATGACCTCGCCGTCATTCAGTAAACATTAATGTTGTAATATAACATTTCCCTTGTAGGAGATGACCTCGCCGTCATTCAGTAAACATTAATGTTGTAATATACCATTTCCTTTGTAGGAGATGACCTCGCCGTCATTCAGTAAATATTAATGTTGTAATATACCATTTCCCTTGTAGGAGATCACCTAGCCGTCATTCAGTAAACAATAATGTTGTAATATAACATTTCCCTTGTAGGAGATGGCCTCGCCGTCATTCAGTAAACAATAATGTTGTAATATAACATTTCCCTCGTAGGAGATGACCTCGCCGTCATTCAGTAAACAATAATGTTGTAATATACCATTTCCTTTGTAGGAGATGACCTCGCCGTCATTCAGTAAACAATAATGTTGTAATATACCATTTCCTTTGTAGGAGATGACCTCGCCGTCATTCAGTAAACAATAATGTTGTAATATACCATTTCCTTTGTAGGAGATGACCTCGCCGTCATTCAGTAAACAATAATGTTGTAATATACCATTTCCCTTGTAGGAGATGACTTCGCCGTCATTCAGCAGGAGATTGTGATGATGAAGGACTGTAAGCACACTAATATTGTGGCTTACTTTGGCAGTTACCTCAGGTAATACAGAATTCAGAATTTTGCAGGGACTGTTGATCGTTTAAACTACACTCCAATAGCATCTTAAAAGGCCCTAATTTGATTAGCCAAACGGTACATGTATCTACATAAAATGCATATATATCTGACCTAGGGCAGTTGACACATTTTGAACTGTTGTGTACTAATCTTCCATCTAAATACTGAAATTGTCTTATGAGATACATTCTTAACTATTTCATACTTTAATTCAACACAATTCTGATTTGTTGAACATGCTTAACCATGATGAAAACCATTGTGTTTTGAAGGAGAGACAAGCTATGGATTGCCATGGAGTACTGTGGAGGGGGTTCCATGCAGGACATATATCACAGTAAGTGTACAACATAGACAAATGGAGTGGGTTCAGTATGGAACATGGTTTGGAAAGCAGCTGTGCAACAGTCATATTTTTCAATCCTGATCAGGAAGAATTTTTCTTTCGGCTATTCGTAAAAAACGTTATATTCACATTGTAGATTAACAGTACAGTTTAATTTACAGAGGCAAATTTCCCATTTCAAATATATACATTTGTATATACAGTACGTATATATAAAACTCCATTACTAATGCTGTTTGCAAATGTTCGAACATGTCCCTGTCTCAGTAAACGCGGTCCTGATTTTTAGTAGCTTTATACTGTAGGATAGTGTAGGTACATGTATCTGGTAAGTATCATTGATGTAGAATTGTCTTATTACTTCAATATTTGTATGTTTACGGATGGGTGGCACCATGAACTATAAACATAATCATCTTATCAATAACTGTATGTAATTTGATGTCATTTTATGATATGTTTTTTATTTACAACTTTATTTGTCAAATCTACTGAAGCTGGCACTGTAAAGACTATAGACAGTGGCCAACATAAGTGATATTAAGCGAAATCCACATCAAAACAAATGATAATAACGGACATTGAATTTCATATATTTTATAGCAGGAAAAAAGAATGCTTTAAGAAAACATGATATTAACCGAAAGTAGCATTATGCATCGTGATAATAAGTGAAACGTTGTGTACATGTACATGACAAAAGCAGTAAATTGTATATACATTGTATCTGTAAGCTGTAAGGGTGTGGATACACCGTTCCCTTATTTAACCATATTGATCATCATTGAAGGAACCGACTAAAGCCATTTTCACTAACTTAGTAATATTTGTTGATTAATATTATGGGATGTAGAGAGTAACAAGTCCAATGATATTCTATGTACATATCTATTCGTTTTTTCAACAGTCACAGGTCCGCTGTCGGAACCCCAGATTGCCTTTGTGTGTCGTGAAACACTCAAAGGACTTATGTACCTCCACAGTCGCGGCAAGATGCACCGAGACATAAAGGTATGTACGAAGAGTCCTTAAAACTGCTACACACATTTATATAATGACAGCCTCCAATAGACTGCAGTCACTGTGGTATATCTAGGTCAACGCAAATTTATGTCAGATTAAATTCGTAAAAGAGGAAGTAATTTTTTATGTTTCTGCACTTCAAGCCTGCCATGATGGGGTGGGTGGGCGATTTATAGGGATATTGTGTTTATTTCCCAATTAAGGAAGGGTTTTGTTACAGCTATATGATACCCACATATAAAATCTGTTCAGTAAGGCATGAGTTCATAAGTTAGTACATTTATCCCTTACAGAATGTGCTTCACACACCTCAAAATTTCCTTTTCAAGAACAACTTTTCCCAGAAATCAAAAGCCAGGGTCAAATGAACAGGGCCCAGACATATAGTGTTAAGGTTTACACAAATGATCACTGAGAGCGGGGTAAACCTTTGAAATTTCGGGACTCGTTTATTATTATATGTATATATAGTCTTTGAAACTTCCTGGTCAGATGACATTACATTTTATAACACAGGGAAACAGACTTTTCCCTGTACAGGTACACTGTGTATTATGCATCCGTGTCATTTACTCATTATGGTTTGTTGAAATTTTGTTGAAATTTTGTGTACCTGGTATATAATGTGTCCCATGTTAAGATGGTCAGCTGGTGTATAAACTTAATATCTAGAGGTCTTGAAGAGAATAATAAGGCTGTTGTAATTTATTGGAGAAATTGTTTAAAATATTTGTGTACAAACTCAGTCTGGTGAATTTTATGTTTATCTTGTAAGATATATATTATATATAAGTACCTGTATTTTACTTCTATGTCTGTTTCCCTTGCCTCAGCAGTATTCTATAATCAAACTTTTTGCAAAAACTGCCTTTCAGTGAAGGTCACCATTTTATGCCCCCTGAAAGACTTTGATATGTCATGACCAGATTTAGTTTGAAATTTAGGTCACTGTGACCTTTATTTTCAGTTTAACTGACTTTGGTTTAGGTTTTGTGTCCTTTCCGTTTTCATTAAAGCAAGAATGGGGGCATATATACGTTCTACAAACATTTTGAGTGAAATATTGTTCCAGTTTCATGTACCTAACACTAATCATGATAATGATTTGATGTTATTGATAAAAATAATTAACCGGTAGTTACAGTAAAGCTACCAATAACCTAAACTATATTGTGACCAATGTCACTACTGTAAAATGTTCATTTTAGACCTTTTCAAAAGAAGTATTCAGAAAAAACATATGTTGCCATGCGTTTGACCGATTTGTAGTTGATTGAAATTTGAATGTTAAAAAAAAAGGAAAAAGAAAACAAGATAAATGCAGTGGTCGAATTTGGAACCTTAACATTACAAAGCTTACGCTAAACCAATGTTGCTATAGAGGAATTATACAAGCAAAATATCAGAATTCGTGTCCAAATTATTAGCCAAACAACATATGAAAAACTTGACAGGGGAAGTCACTCTAAGCTAAAAAAAAAACCACTCCTTTAGGTTGATTCACCTTCTTTATACCTGGGAGAACACTGCAATTAAAAAAAGCCCTGAGTGGAACTCTTCTGTGCAAATTATAACTGATGCAGTATACGTACATGTAGTACCCTTAACCTAACAGCACCTTAACTTGTATCACCCTCACTCACATCAACTTACTGTATATGTTATCTGTTTCAGGGTGCCAACATATTACTAACAGACGAAGGTGATATAAAACTTGGTGAGTACAAGTTTGCTTTTAAGTTTCCTACTGCTCAACATTCCAAACACAAATCCACTCATGATCACCTTGCAGATTTACCAAAAAGTCAATTCTAAGTCAGGTAACACCAGGCAAACAGACATGTTCACAAGATTTTAAAGTTTTATACAAATAGATATTTTGTAAGCCTGCTTTTAAATATTTTGAAGAATTTTTTGGTTTCAAGATCTATATTTTCAAAATATGACCAAAACGTAGTGATGGGCATTTGGTTTAAAATCATAAAAGATAATTGGTTTGTAGTCAGAAGTAGGGTAATTTAGTTTGTAGTATCCTTTGCCTAAGGGGATTCAATGTTGTATAATTTTTTTGAAAATTTCTTAATAATAAATAGCCTTTAAATAGTGCTCTCTTCTAGATCTGCTGAAGTTTTCAGTGTTAATTTTTTAAAAATAATTGTTTATTCGGTGTAATTTTATCAAGGATATACACATTAAATAACAATCTTTGTTGTTTCCAGCTGACTTCGGAGTGTCGGCCCAGATAACTGTGACGATGAACAAGAGAAAGTCTTTCATAGGAACTCCCTACTGGTACGTATGACAAGCTTGCAACATATTACTTCTACGTTCATATAAACGAAAATCTGTTAATGGATGCAGTAAAACCAGTGCGGTACACCTCACATTTTTTTCCACATCAATATTCTACATTAAACTGCATAAACGGTAAACCTACGGTCAGTTCGAACAAAATTAAATTAATATTGTCAATCCTGTTGGAATTACACGAAATTATAGCAGCTAAATTAAAGAGTAGTTCGAACTATCCAATTCGACATTGGCAAAAATCTCGGCAAACAGTCGAGTGATTGATACGAAACAACGACGGCCTTATTGCAATATATGTTTGCAAATCTGGAGATGAATAACGATATATATATCTTTCTTATATTTACTTACATATTGATAATCAATTATTAAGTTCAATTGCAAAGCGGAGACAAGTATGTAGGCCGCAAAGCAGTAGATATTTTCTCGAGTAATGGCGAAAGTTCAGTTGTACTGATTAGAATGCGGGGGGTCAGATAATCAAATTGTAATCAGTAATATCATGACAATACACACATCTGTCACCGACGTGACGGTAACATTCCGCGCTCCGTGTACTGTTAGGATATTATACATGGTCAGGGCCTAAAGATGTTTGACTGGCGCATGCACATGTAAACTTACAAGAAAGAAACTCAATTATCGGTGACATGCGACTTATTTTTGTACATGTAGAGTAGTTAAACCCTGTCGATGCGCAAATAGATCAAGTTTAGCGAGTTTCGCAAGGCTATTATTGCATCGCCGATAGCCAACCTCGATCAATAATTACGCAAGTTCATTACTCAAGTTGTGTGTTTGAACACTCCAAAATGTGTGTAAGCAGGGTTCGAACTATCACTAGACACAAAATTATTATTTTTATTGTTCAAAAAGTGTGTTAGAACTATCCGCCTATTCGAACTGTCCGGAGGTTTACCATATGTGGGGAAAAAATCTGTCATTGCTTGAAAGTAGTTTTTCCCCCAATTATAGACATGAAATTGTTCAGAAAGGAAATTTACCAGAATATCAAGTTCCATTCCTGATGAACGAGTCTGTAATGACAGATTCCTGTTTCTGATGCACTAATACATGTTTATCTGTTAAGTGTGTAAAGTTGTAACATCTTACCGTATTTGTGATATACCGTGAACTTAGATATTTTCATGGGGCCCAAATTTCATGGTTTTCCGACAAAAAAGACACAATTTTGTGGGTACATGAATTTGTGGATTACATATATACCAACTCAAACAGAGAACTGCTTTATATCAAACTATCAAACTTATAATTACTTTGTGGACCTATGAATTCTTGGATGAAGATTACCCACGAAATTGGTGAAATTACAATCCTCACGAAAATTAGTGATTTCACAGTACTGGTGCATTTATATCTGTGTGTAGCTGTTATATTTTGCCCGTATTTGTGATATAATGGTATGTGTATAGCTGTTATATTTTGCCCGTATTTGTGATTTAATGGTACGTGTATAGCTGTTATATTTTGCCCGTATTTGTGATATAATGGTATGTGTATATCTGTGTATAGCTCTTATATTTTGCCCGTATTTGTGATATAATGGTATGTGTATATCTGTGTATAGCTCTTATATTTTGCCCGTATTTGTGATATAATGGTATGAGTATAGCTGTTTATAGCTGTTATATTTTGCCCGCATTTGTAATTTAATGGTACATGTATAGCTGTTATATTTTGCCCGTGTTTGTGATATAATGGTATGTGTATATCTGTGTATGGCTGTTATATTTTGCCCGTATTTGTGATTTAATGGTACGTGTATGGCTGTTATATTTTGCCCGTATTTGTGATATAATGGTACGTGTATATCTATGTATAGCTGTTATATCTTGCCCGTATTTGACTAGGATGGCCCCTGAGGTGGCTGCAGTGGAGAGGAAGGGAGGTTACAACCAACAGTGTGATATCTGGGCGGTGGGCATCACAGCTATAGAGTTCGCTGAGCTACAACCTCCCATGTTTGACCTTCACCCAATGAGGTATGTCAAGGTGGAAAAACAAATCATCTATGTCAAAGTTCCAGTTTCTTTTCCTAGTAGCCAGTCAGTTGATAATGAATTTTATTAAAAAATGTGGAAGTCTCACTATGTCCACTTTATTATCATAATACCCAATCAATTATCACACTTATTTAGTGTGTAAAAAATTAAGAAAATATACATTTTTTTACTTAATGTTCTTGGTAAGATGTCTTATCAAATGTTGTGCTGATGACATATTCATTATTGAGTCATAACATGAAAGATGACGAAATTATACTTCCTGTCAAAGAAACAGCAATATGATAATCAGCATTTAACTAGAATTCCACTCTTAAACAGTGTTGGAATGTTATCAATGACCGTTATGCTTGATCATTTTTCAGAGCATTGTTCCTGATGTCAAAAAGTGGATTCAAACCCCCTCAGCTGAAAGACAAGACAAAGTGGTAAGTGGTTCTCCTCTACATCTGTGAGAAGAACAAGTGTACCGTTCTTCCGTTCTTTATATAGATCATTAAGGAATTATTACGATAACGGAAGATTGATTTTTTTTTACCGACAAGAAAATAATATCTAATTTGAAAATATGCGAGAAAAGCTTGCTGAAGAAGAAAATGAAATCTTCCCGGCATATCTGATGTCACAATTTGGTCATATAAGTTTTTTACACACTCTTAGTGGTACACCCATGACACTTACAATGTTGTGCAAAACTTGATTTAGTTGTAAATTATTATTCTAGTCAAATGTTTATCTCACTGTAGAAGCATATCAAGTATAGTATGTGAATTTTCACTGTAGATATGTGTAAGTACAATATATATAAACTTTCACTGTAAGAATTAAAATGTGAATTTTCACTGTAGAATTATTTAGTGTAACTAGGTAATCTAACAGTAGTTTATACAGGATTTTCACTGTAGAATTATTTAGCGGAACTAGGTAATCTAACAGTAGTATATACATGATTTTCACTGTAGAATTATTTAGCGGAACTAGGTAATCTAACAGTAGTATATACAGGATTTTCACTGTAGAATTATTTAGTGAAACTAGGTAATCTAACAGTAGTATATACAGGATTTTCACTGTAGATGTATATTCAGTAATTGAGGATATTCTGTTAAGTTTTCTTTGCTTAATCTATTCCAGGTCTCCAACATTTCAACATTTCGTAAAAGTTGCACTCACAAAAAATGCCAGGAAACGACCAACAGCTGATAAATTATTAGAGGTAAATAATAATTAATTTGTATCTAGAACATTGTAACCCGTCTGGTCTGGCCACTAGTGGACCACGCTCCTCGTTGCAGAATTGCAGAGCATATCCCGGGGTTATACCACATTTCTGGAAAAGCTGGCTTGCCAATAAGGCAGTATTTCCCCCTCTTATCGTGTGGCAGTCACACATGCTTAGGGACAATATATGGAAATTTACTACTTACTTGCAGATATCTGGTAGTGGTTGATTTCTGTGTTTTGTTATGTCATGTAAAATGTTTTTTTTTACTGCATCAATCAATAAAAATGTATTAAGATTAGAACTGATTTTACTATTGAGCTTCATTTACTGTAAAATGACTAATTTTTGTGGGAGTTTTAATTTCGTTGATTTTATGGGTAATCAATTAATTGGGTAATCAAGTAATTACACGTTTTATATAAGGCAATTCTCAGTTTCAGTGGGTACTCCTAATCCACAAATTCATGTACCCACAAAAGGGTGCTTTGTCGGGGAAACCATGGAATTTGGGCCCCACCAAAAATATCTTGATTTAAAATTATCCAATTTATTCAGCTACCATTTGTCAGGTCATCGCTCTTTTTAGAGTTTAGGATGGTGTATTCCCACATTTCAAGTAAAAAATGTCTCTCCAATCCAAATCTGCCGTAACAAAGTTGGCTAGTTTGTCTGTTGACATGCTTTAACTGTACATGATGTTTATCCCACAGCACCTGTTTATGCAAAGTGACCTGTCTCGGCGACTGACGAGAGAAATCCTGGACAAGGCTCGCAACCCAACCAACACTTTCGAAATCATGGTTGAAGATGAAGATGGGGTATGGAAAATACTTGAAGATTTTTGTAAATATGTATTTGAGATCAAAGGATATTGAGTCATATGGTTACTGACCTCAAGTAACTTAGCAGGACTTGAGATATTTATAGGAGGGCCAGTATTGAAGACATTTGTATGCAGAAATGACCAGCACATTTGTTGGTTGAAATAATAGAATTATGCTCCATTTGTAAATTACTTACATTTCTGAAATTTCTCATTTACAATGTGCTCAATAATAAATACCTGTAACAGGATCAGAAAAAGAAAACTTTTCTAATGAATTGAAAATCATTTCAAAACACACATAATATGTGTGAATGTTGTGTTAATGGAAGACAGTAAACCTCTGTATCCATTTCATTAGATTAAGTCCCAAGAAAAACCTGTTAAAAATATCAGGTATCTGAAATATAGGTTACAATATTGGAATCTGCAAGTGAAAGTGGCAGTTACACCCTTGGGAGAGTAACAAACTTGAAGAGGTGATCGTTGTCGCACGGCTGATCCGCACCGCCAACCGCCGACCCGCACCGCCAACCGCCGACCCGCACCGCCAACCGCCGACCCGCACGGCCGACCCGCACCCCACATTACACTCTCACAAGGCTCCCACTGCTGCTTTTGTTTGCATCTTCCGATGTTACACAAATATAACAGAAATAGACAATTGATGACTATGACAACTTTAACACAGATAAAGTTCAATAATTCATTATGACAGAAAAACAACAACACTTTAATACGGATACGTGGTGGCCAAAGTGTGTATGTCTCTATAGTAGAACACATTATTTCCTCAGATCATACAGAACATTCAGCAGAGGATACCGTCACAACGATCTGCTCGTAATAACCCTGCTCGCAACAGCATAGAACTTAAAGGTACGTCAACTTATATTATATACTTGCATTCAGATATTTTCCAAATAATCTGGAGTTTTTGATACCAAGATAGGATTGAAAATGTACAATTATTTTTATAGGAGGAATCTGGTAACATTGGAATAATAATTTATAAAATCTAGACACAGTTAAACTTTCATCCTTTTCTTCTTCATTTATAAGAAGAATTAAGTATGACGACTAATATTTGTACACCTTACTATAGCTATTGTATTTCTACTGTGGAGGACAGTTGTAATATAAGGTGAAGATGTGTTTTACGAGTGAGTGATTGTGCTTTAGGTACAGAACTTTAAAGAATGTTTCCATTAAAATCTATGTGAAATATTAAAGATACATTTCCTTCTTTTACAGTAAATATTCCTCAGCCTGACCAGGTATGTAAAACCGTTATAGGTGTTCTCTATGTAAAACCGTTATAGGTGTTCTCTATGTAAAACTTAGCCAAATTATCCTGACTTTGTAATGTTGTTTGACACTACTTTGAGATGTAATTGAATCATTAAATATTTTATGCTCATGTTCTTCAGACTTCTTATAATAAAAAAGAAAATCTCAGAACATGAATCTATATAACTGTATTATGGAATGGTACCCAGAAAACATAATGGTGAGAAAAGCATGCTTTTGTTCTGTTAACATTTTCAATTTTATTTTCATAAGATATAAAATAAAAAGTTCAAACAAATTAGATGAGCTGGAATACAGAATTCAAATATCAAGAAGAACAATTAACTGTTGGTATAACGGAGGTATATCCTAAAAATTTGAGATACATCCCGAACAAAAGTGAACTGATGATACCGGGATATGACTAAATTATCAACGAAAACACGGCCACATCTCACAGGGGTGAAGGTTTATATATTAAAACTGATCTTTTGTCGATTGAAATCAATTTCGAATCAATTTAGATGAACCTTGGAAAAAATATAGATATGAAATATGATCACTTTGCAAATTTATAAGCTTTAACATGCATGTTAAAATCGAATGTTTATGAATTATAAATATGTATTGTATCATTTATATGGATATAGAGACAGTTGTCTTCATCCATCTTTTTTCCTATTACATATTCCTATTAAAAATGTATAGTGTGTAACAGGAGTGCTGATGACTCATAACATTATTGTAGGACGAGAGATTCTACACGGGCCAGGCTTGGATGGATAACGACATCTCTAACCAGTAAGTATCTGTTATAGCTTATCGCCTCTTCTAAGCTGTTGTGTGGTTAATTCCTTCAGCTATCGATGGTTCCTTAAGCATACAGTATCAAGATAGATGGTTATTGGTCGTCTTCAGAATACGTTGACACTTTTACATTTTGATTGATTGTAAATGTTTTTTATTCTGTTGTGCTTTGTTGATGTTAGCTTTCCTCCCAGCTTGTTTGCTTGTTTGCATTTGTCATGATGAATGTCTGACAGGACCCAAACAAATGATAAATGATTGACTCGCTGATTTGTACAGCAATTGAACAAAACGGTCACCTATCAAAATGAAAATGAAATATAAGATTTTGGTAGAGAGATATAAGTTTTGGGGTTATTTTAATATATAATGCTAGTAAGCATGCATATATTGAGAAGGAAAGTCACTATGGGTTCAGGCAATAGAGATTACATTTGGGGGGATTTTGTAGCAAATGGGGTTAGATAGAGGAGTTTTTCTTTCAAAATAAAATGTTTTAATGTAAAACTTATTGGTGACAGGCCAATGAAATAGTGGTGAATTCTTCTATCTCTATTCAGATAATACTACTTGCTGAAAACATTCAGTGATGAGATGACATGTCTATGTGAAATTTAGTTCAGTGGATGTTTCCTTATTGGATAGGGGTATCATCAATTGTTGATTTGTTGGAAAGGTTGGGTGAAATGTCTTCGCCTGGATATCGATGATTAAAAGATTCCAGTTATTTGGGAGTTAAATTACTACCCCAGATAAAAACTTTTGCACTTTTGGGGATACACAGATATTTCCATGTATAATTTTATGTCTGTTAGCTGTACAAATACTCTTAGATGTATATAACAAAGAGTAAATAAAACAACATTAAGATCACACAATATAAACATTTCAACCATCTGTTCAAATTACCCCAGCTACCACAAGTTGTTTGGGACACTTGTATTTAACTTCTAAAGAACTTAGTCTTGCATCTAACACTGGCTGCATTGGATCTTGGCAAGAGAACTGGTCAACTGGTCAAATAATCAGGTCAAACACTGAGAACATGACCTAAGTGTTCCACTTTTAGATAATAGTTTTGACTTAATCCCCACATTTACAAGGGAAAGAACTTGACCCGAGTGTTCCACTTTTAGATCGTAGTTTTGACTAAATCTCCACATTTTTAAGGAAAATAACATGACCTGAGTGTTCCACTTTTAGATCATAGTTTTGTCTAAATCCCCACATTTTTAAGGGAAAGAACATGACCTGAGTCTTCCACTTTTAGATCGTAGTTTTGACTATCTCCCCACTTTTACAAGGGATAGAACATAACCTGATTGTTCCACTTTTGAATCACAGTTTTGACTATCTCCCCACATTTTCAAGGGAAAAGAGTTGTATGTGATGTCTATAAAATGACAGTAGGTGGGGAAATGAAATGTACCTTAGAATACATCAAGTAATGTAACTTATATATCAGTGTACATCTTTCTAAGCTTTCAATTTTATTCACACATTTTTACATCAGGTATATTCTAAAGGTAGTAGGCTCAAACACAAGGGTTGCCAGATCCAATGTAGCCCTACAGTCTGCATGACAGTTAGCATGGTACATGACAGGATATATACTTATTGAGCATTGGCATGTCTTATGTACGATTATGTAATTAAGGTAGGTGTGAAAACAAATTTGTGATATAATCGATCAATTTCCAAGTTTAAGATTGATTGATTCCAATTTCCTGTCATCGATTAACGTAATCAGAAAATCTTGCCCTGTATTTCGTTTGCGCTAAATTTTAATCAATACAATTGTCTTTTTGAACATCAGGTAAAGCCTAATTCCAAACTATAATGTCCCTGTGTGTAATTATTTTCTTGACTCCAGTGGGTTAGTATACATGTATGATACTAGCTAATCTGTACATATTTTAAGCACAATGTGTTGTCACTTCCATAATATTCAATTTTCAATGCAGAAATCTTTGAAGTGTTTTCAGACATTTTTTTTCTCTTTTTCACTAATATTCATGTGTGAATTGACAAATATACATAGAAATTTTAATTTGTAACATGTGAAAATGATGTACATGTATATATATGTGAAACACATATAACCATCAAATTTGAAACTTGATGTAATTTACTGTAGGTTTATGTTGTGAATGTAACTAACATGATAGAGGTAAGAGAAAGAGAGAGAGATTGCTTAAAGAAGTAAGAGAGAAAGAGAGAGAAAGAGAGAGAAAGACTGCTTAAAGAAGCAAGAGAAAGAGAGAGATTGCTTAAAAAAAAGTGAGAGAGAAAGACAGCTTAAAGAAGTAACAGATAGAGATGGAAGGAGAGAGAAAGACTGCTTAAAGAAGTAAGAGGTAGAGACGGAGAGAGGAGACTGCTTAAAGTAAGAGGGAGAGATATAGTTATGTCTAACAGTAATTTGTTAAGTGTTAGAAATTTAAGAGAATACTTGTTTGTTGCCCTATATATATCCTATATGTCTACTTCTCTCCCCTGCCTATAGCCCGGATGTCTCCTGCATGTCCAGGTAACGGCCCGAAGGAAAATGCATGGATGCGCGTGTTTATTTCTGTACCTTTACCTCAGTTTTATAGTAGTTAATGCATATTTGATCTCTATATATTTTTCTGCCAAGCACTTAACATTTTCATGCTTGTACTTTTGTAACGATTTTTCAAAACCATTCTAGTAAACCTGTTTTCTGTTATCAGAACCGTAGAATTTTAAATGTTAAGGAAGAATATCTTTAAATTTGTAATTGAATGCTTAATTTTTTCTTCATACTTTAAAATGCTGATTGTGTTTTTTTTATCTTCTGTGAAAATATAGATGTTTTATGTCGTTTTCTGATTGGATCAGTCGACAGACTGTTGGTACATGTATTGGTTCATCTTAGTAGATAATTTGGCTGAGTTTGTTTATCACTGACCAAGCAATAGGATAAGTTGGTCCCTAGTTGTTTATTTTTGAAACAGGGAGGGACCAAACAGTCTGAACCTTAATATGGAAGTTCTACATTAACTTTTACAAGCATTTCAGGCCTGATTTTTAAACATTCTGTGTTTAAAAGAGGAAAAATGGGTTATTCTCGATGAATGAAATGGCCCATGGAGTATTATAAAAAAATAATAATGCATTGTGCGGCAAGATAGTTGAAATACTCTGTTGGGACTCAAAAAAGACATGCAGAATCCTTTAAATTTACTAGCTTTTATGCTCCCACCATAAAGGGGGCATTCATTGGCCCATCTGTCCATCCATACAACATCTTGTTTAGGAGTTGCTCTTAGCCCTGTTACTCTTATACTAGGAGTCTAAAATTCATTATATGTTACTGACTATCCATAAATATGACAACTTAAGTTTACCTTCATTTTCATATGTGTGTTTACAAACATTTTCTAGTATTACCAGGAATGTTTATTCTTAAAGGGCACATCCTGATTTAATTAGGAAACTGTTTTGGACATTTCTAAAATTAAATTAAATCTGACATTAGTTTGTGTGTATGTTATTAAGTGAAGTTGATTATTTTAATTATACAGAACTGTTACTGAAATGTACTTGTATATATATATATAAAGAAAAAATCTCAACAACAAGTCTTCAGTACTTTCATCTCGTCAAGGAGATTCTTCAGACTGGATATAATTATGACGTCATAAACTGTGGCGTTATCACAGCAATAGATATATACATAATGATGGTCTTAAGAAAAAGAGTACTATTTGTTTAGGATTACGAATTACTATATTAATACTTCTATATATGAATCAAAAATAAATATAAAAAAAACATTTCCCTGTGTGCGGCGAACTCCGGACCGTTTCAGTACTGATCCGACACACTACCGATGTCACTACATATATATAGATATTTGAATTATTAACAACAACTGTTACAGTGTTTACTAGGCTGTTCCAATATAACTCATGTATTTCTTCAGACATTTTAAGTTGTGAAAATACATATATCTGAATCATTGACAAGTTAAAAGGAAAAGGTGTGCATGGATTTTGAAATATAATCTATAATTTAGGTTAAGAATGTTAGCACATTTCAGTTTAATTATTTTTTTTTGCACTCTATTTTGAAATTTTTACTTGTTGAATCATTTTAAAGGATACAAAATAATTATTTAATACTGGGATAGGAATACTTTTGTACTAAATTGCTTTTAAGGAGGCCTGTACCACCACCAAAAAATATAACAAAAGTATTGGAAATTGTTATTTCTGACACGAATGTAGCCTTGGAAATTGTTATTTCTGACATGACTGTAGCCTTGATAAAGCATTTTTGAAAAGAAAACCAGAGTTGAGGGACTTTAATGGGGGGGAAAAATGAAAATTAACAAAATATAAACAACAAAAGTGTCCTGAGAGTTAAAAAAAATCAGCGGGGCTAGACCGGGTAAATCAGCGGGGCTAGACCGGGAAAATAAGCGAGGCTAGACAGGGAAAATCAGCGGGGCTAGATCGGGATGCAAACCTCGTGACTTCAGTTTGTTATACATTGTTTATGTACTACACAGCCATGTGTGAAAAAGACGCCGTTAGGTCGTGATGTTGTTTACATAACCCGTCCAGGTGTGACACTAGATCCCGGGGACATATCTAATTGATTCTTACATTAATTTACCAATTATTTTTTGGTGACAGTGGCCAAAATAAAGTGATATAAAGCAAAAATGATATTGAAACAAGTGATAATTAAAGAATTGAATTACATAGATTATAGAGCAGGAAAAACAGTGCATTAAGAAAACGTGATATAAGTGAAATGTACTGTATCTGTGCTGCAATTATATCCAAACATAATCTAAGGGGAGGTAATTACTGTATCTAGGAAAAACGGCAGTGTTGTGGGACAGGGATCCTTAAATGGATCGTATTAGAAGCATAAAGTGTTGTCTGATCAGAATGGAGCTTTATAAGTTTCATCGAGTTATATGCATGAGTGGGACTGTTTTCTTGATTTTGAAATACAGAGTTTGTACAAATTGAAATATCTATTTTATGTATGAATGCTTGTTTCTTTGCTCTTTATACTAATTAGTAGCATTTATTTGGTTTATTTTATGGCTTAATCCTGTGTTTTGCCTGTTTAATAGCGTGAAACATTCTAGATTTTTTTTTAAATGGTTATTGTGAAAGCTCACTGCTGAAACTTTTGCAATACATGCATATTTTTTCTTTGACATACAGATGAGGTACCATTTGTAGTTTAGGAGATTCACTGTAAGAGGTTTTGATGTTTCAAATTTTATCTTAAAATCAGTACTATTTTCTGTCTGCCAGTATTTTCTAAAGAATGAGAAATATACACATTTCTGTTGTATTTGATTATTAAGAATATAAATTATGTAGATTTAATGATGTAGTAACTGTTATGAAATTTATTTAAATAAGTTAAAATTAAAACGGATGATGCAGCTGTAACTTAAAAACTTAAAAAACCTAATAGGACATCAAGTATATGTAGCTGATCTAGGCATATTCCGTCTTTGCGTGTTGCAGAGTTGTCTCCTTGTGAGCAGGTATTGATTGTTACGTTGTTAGTTTGTGTAAGAAAATTACGTCGTTTTCTCAAAAATTGATGACGTTACTCTCCCACACAAAAGACGTAACAATCAATACCTACTCGCAAGAGAAGATAACTCTGCAATACGAAAAGACGAAATATTATATAGTAGATCATAAATAAACAAGTTCTTGTGAAGGAAAATTTAGTGTAAAATAACAATATCCAAGATCGACTGCTAGGCCTTTCTGCCTTCATAGGCTTCTTCAGGCGGACAGATGTCTGGAGAAGCCCAAGAAGGCAGAAAGGCCTGGCAGTCCATCTTGGATACCTATTATTTTATTCTATATATATATTATAATGGCTGTATATTAATCAAAGTTTTTGGCTCGTTACTCCGTAAATAGAATTGTACTTTTGTCTATGATCTTGTGCTATATCAGTGGAGATTTTACATGGCTACACCTACCTGTCAGTAGATGTCCTTGTTATGATGAGTGCAATGTTCTGTAGAATGGTGTTTGTAGACACTGAGAGATAAGATGTTCAGATGCTGTATATAAATATACAGTATATGTACTGGATAATCTAGCGGCACCAAGATGTCACATGTTGCGATCTGGTGGCACTGAGATTAGATACCACTCTCTGGCAGGCAGCACATAGACATTGAATGTGATGCCACATGCTAATAGCATTTGTTTGTGTACGCAGGGGTCTGCTCCAGTCAGTTGATGAAGAGTTACAGCGGAGGTAGGCACCTGGGAAATCGCTTCTCATATAACCAACTACAGCAAAGGGGGCACTAGTATAAACCTTGGTCGTCTGTCACCCATATCTCGCCCTAAACTTACTCTCAGGCAGCTCAGGGATTGATCAGACAATGTTAAGAAATCCCTTGAATCTGAATGTACTAAATGAATTTAAAAGTTCCTATGAACTCATTCACCCCTGAAGACACATTTGAACTCTTCCAATTCAAAGGTTGGAATAGTTCATTATGAAATTTCAGGGGTGAATTAGTTAATAGATTATTTTATCTTAAATAAGCGAAATGTATAACTTTTATGGTGGGGAGGGGGGGGGGGGGTTCTAACATTTCATGCATTAATGTCATTTAATGTAAAGATCATTACACATATAATTATTCAAACAGTTCCTATCAAATGAATTCAGTACAAATTGAAAAGTAAGTGGTACAGGGAGAGTTGAGATACAGGTGACGTTGAGGCCTCTTTCTGACGTGCAAATTATTTTTGGGGTTTGTGGGAGTATTGCCAATAGAACATGTTGAATGTACTGGCTTTTGATTTCAACAACACAGTATGTTCTTTGTCCTATTTGTTGTTACCAACAATCTCAAGCTACAAGTAGATTCAATATTTTCTTTTAAATTTCAAAAAAAATAAAAAATAAAATATCAATATTTTTGAATAAATAATTACAAATCTGATATTTGGAAATTTTTGTTTGAATTTGGAAAAGCATATTAAGTGAAATGAAGATTCTTTGCACATCTATTCAGAAAAATGAGGTTTATTTGTGTGCAAGTATATTTGGGTTGATTCTAAGCTGTGTAACTATGCTGTATTCAGTTTTCCAGTTGATTAACCTGTGTTTGTAATCTAAAGTTTAACTTACAAAGTAGCTGCTGATTTTATATAAGATTTATAAACTCACCTGTGGTCTACTAACTAATATTTTTCCCTTCCTATAAAGTCATCTGTGATTATCTCCCCTTTTTTTAAGGTCGTCTGTATTGACAAGCATCATATGATGTTTTCTATAATACCAACATCCATTGTTTTTCTTGAAACATTCCTTATGACAAAAACAATGTCACAGTATTTTTATGTATTGTTTTTTTGGCATGAAAGCTTGTGTTTCCAAACAGATATTATGATTCTTTGTTTTCTATAAATATAATTTTCTCCCTAATAAATCATATCAGATATTTCCCCAGTGGAAATGCAGAAACGGAAATATCCTTTCCCATTTATTTGATTAAGGTAGTACACCATAGTCTTGGACACTGGTAGATGGCTTTAATCCTCACTGTCATTATAAGCTGATCAATATATTCTTCATGCTCAGGGCAGAACAGATATATTGATTCAAACCAATATCCTGTAGTTGGGTTACAATCATATTTGTATATACCATCCCTGCATTGATTGTCATACCTGAAGGAACAGTGTGACAGTTTCAGGATTCTATCAACTAATTCACCCCTGAAATTTCATAATGAACTATTCCAACCTTTGAATTGGAAGAGTTCAAATGTGTCTTCAGGGGTGAATGATTTAAAAAATCTAAACAGGAAGCTTTACATTTGAGACTAAGGATATTATTTTAAGAAATAACATGTTTTTCAAATATGTAAGTTTTCCTTGTTTAGTTGTGTTTCAGTTTATAATGGTGTTTAAAATTTGGGTGTCCTTAGGCAAAAAACACACTTCACATGAATTTATCAATATCTTTTCCATGTACAATGTGTTTCATAGTACTGTACATGTAGACATAAAAGTAGTCAGGAATATAAAAACAGATACAACTGCGATGATATATTTTGTTAAATACACACGATACAATGTTGTCATGATTCCTGCTTTGATCGATGTGTAATGTGTGAGGATGCCTGCAAGAACACGAGGGACAAGGATTGACAAACGGTCGAGTTTGCAGACTGACACAGTGATTAACATTGATTGGACCTGATACTGATGTTTGCAGCCCCGCCATGTATTGTGCTGTAGATGTACCCCCCAATCTGTTCCCTTGATACCAGTTGTCTGCTAGTGTTGTCCTCCTCTTCCTGTAGTTGTCTGGTATCTATTTCTATTTCATTAACAGGTGGCAGATAAAGGATGGAAAATATTTTAACAGTTAATTGCTGTGAGAATTTTTCAAACTTTTTCCGCAAAAATCCAAGAAATAAATATGGTCGCGACTCAGGACTAGATTTAAATTGTTACTGTGTATAGTGCACATACTTAATTGATATTCTCATTTTTCCATAAAAAAAGTGTGCACATACTATACACGATTATTTACAGTACGTACATTTCTATTGCTTTGAAGGTCAATTCAAAAATAAAGAAATATATCCGACTGTTCGATAGATTTAAGTAAACTGGAAGTCATGGATTTCTGAACTGGCTTCATTTAATATCTTACACGATGTATATAGCCACACCTAGATCAGCCACCAAAGCAACTGTCTCCTTCAGATCCGTGTTTGTGTTAGTTTTGTGTTGTTGACGTTTCACTACTAACCTGATGTCATACAGTGTATTTGGTAATTTTGATTTTATGTTTAAAAAAAACCAATATGATTTTTTTCATCATTATGATTTTTTATTAAGTTGAAATTTTCCTAGTGACTTCAGAACTGGTTTTTCCATTGCAAAACTGTATATTTTCTGTTGGATTGTATGTAGAAAATAGAGTGTAGATGATCATCTTTTTGAAGAAGCTGTAGTGTTACCGGTACCATCCCTGTACTTCCTCTATCATAGTGGTATTTCATAGTGCTCAGTGACAAAACATGCATAAATGGATAAAGGCAAACTTGTGTTCACAAGAAACAGTGTATTTGATAAACTGCAGGAACTAAAAAGGCGAGCATTTGTTGATCATAGCTTCCATGTTGGAGCTGGAGTATGACCAAAAAAAAGCACTTTTTAAATGAAGAAAGGAATATGCTCAGCTTACCATTTTGATACCTTGTTATATAGATACTTACCCCAGTATGATAACATTAATGTGAACAAATAATCTATTACAAATTGTTAACCTTTAGTTTACGATTGATTGTCAGGCAATTCAAACTTTCCTTTCTATTACCTGTAGTATTCAGTGTAATTCTACAACGTAAAGTTTCGTATGAATTTTAAGTGAAATTTATCTGAACTTCAATGAGATGTGGATAGTGAACGTGTTGTATTTATATGAGTTGTGGTGTGTTTTTGTTTTAGATTTGATATCTACGAACACATTCCAGATATTGATAGTGACAGGTTTGGGTGTGTAGTCTCTCATTTACCATATCTATTCAGAATTATAATTAACCATAGCTTCGCTAGCCATATTTGCTTTGCAATGAATAGGCCAGCTAGTGCAAAATGAGGCGGATATATTTTTTACAGGAATTACTGCTAAACACTTTCATCAGCTTTGTCACTGAGCTGAATATTTGTGGGAAGGGTGGGGACTAATAACATGTTCACAAACTAACATGAGATAGGAATTTGCATGTGTGTTTAATTTCTATAGCAGTAAAGTACTAACAGGACTGTAAGTGTGGCTAAAACAGACTTGTAGAGTACTAACAGGACTGTAAGTGTGGCTAGAACAGACTTGTACAGTACTAA